CTACACATTTCATTAGGATAGTTAAGCACTATCATGACTTTCATTATTCATTCACTGATACTGCATATCTATAGCTCTTTTGATATTAAATAAGTCAACTTGTATCCAAATTGGACTAGCATCATAACTATCTTTCCAAGTCATTCTACTAAACCTGGTATTACTCATTGACTGCATCTGAGTAATTGAGGCTATCATTGGTCCAGGCCATCAGTTCTGGTAGGAAATTTCATATTTCTCCTGTACCAAGGAGCAGTGGATGAAGTTCCACAGCTAAGCTGTGGCACCCTGTGCAAGGAGTGATTCTACCAAGCATGTGATGATTCATTGATGGTATCCAAGCTATTCAAGCTACTTCTGGTCCAGGTCATCAGTTCCAGTAAGAGATTCTATGTCTCCTGTACAAAGGGGGAGAAATATAGTTGAAACATGGAGTATAGCTATTTCCGGAGGTGATTTTACTGAGCCTAGTGTCATTCAGTGACTGCATGAAACCTATTCAAGCTACTTCCAGTCTAGGTCATCAGTCTCGGTAAGAGATTCTACATTTCTTTGGTACAAGGGGGGAGGTAGATGAATATGGTTGAAATATGAAGTGTAACTATTTCCGGAGGTGATTTCTCTGAGCCTAGTGTCATTCAGTGACTGTATTAAACATATTCAAGCTACTTCCGGTCCAGGTCATTAGTCTCAGTAAGAGATTCTACATTTCTCCGGTACAAAGGGGGAGGTAGATGAACATGGTTGAAATATGAAGTGCAAATATTTCTGGAGGTGATTCTACCGAACCTAGTGTGATTCAGTGACTGCATAAAACCTATTTAAGCTACTTCTGGTCTGGGTCATCAGTCTCAGTAAGAGATTCTACATTTCTCCGGTACAGCACTATACTTGACAGGGCCCATCCATATCTACTGAGATTCCTATTCCATTACCTGGGAAATATGAAGTGTAAATATTTCCGGAGGTGATTCTACCAAACCTAGTGTCATTCAGTAACTGTATTAAACATATTTAAAGCTACTTCCAGCCTGGGTCATCAGTCTTGGTAACAGATTATATATTTCTCCCATACCAAGGAGTGGTGGATTAATATGGTTGAAAAATGAAGTATAGCTATTTCCTGAGGTGATTTCTCCGAGCCTAGTGTTATTCAGTGACTGTATTAAACATATTCAAGCTACTTCTGGTCTGGGTCATCAGTCTCAGTAAGAGATTCTACATTTCTCTGGTACAAAGGGGGAGGTAGATGAATATGGTTGAAATATGAGGTGTAACTATTTATGGAGGTGATTCTACTGAACCTAGTGTGATTCAGTGACTGCATAAAACCTATTCAAGCTACTTCTGGTTCAGGTAATCAGTCTCGGTAGGAGATTTGATACTGGCAGCCAATCTGTATCTACTGAGATTCCTGTCACATACCCTGTAGTTTTACAAACCAGCCTCATCTCCCAGGATCAACCGAGATTCCTATCCTATATAATGTAGTTTTAAAAACCGGGCCCATTCATATCTACCGAGATTTATACTACTGAGATTTCTATTATATACCTGTGGTTTCACAAACTGGGCCCACCCGTATCTACCGAGATTCCAATCCTATAAAATACAGTTTTTGAACTGGGCCCATTTGTACCCACCGAGATTTGTATCCTATACCTGTAGTTTCACAAACCGGGCCCATCTGTATCTACTGAGATTTCTATCCTATACCTGTAGTTTCATAAACCAGGCCCATCCATATCTACTGAGATTCTCATCCCATATAATGTTGTTTTACAATCCAGGCTCATCTGTATCTACCAAGATTTCTATCCTATACCTGTAGTTTTACAAACCGGGCCCATCCGTATCTACTGAGATTCCTATTCTATACCATGTGGTTTTACAAACTGGGCCCATCCATATCTACCAAGATTCCACACCATTACCCTGGGCCTAGTCATCATCTTCCACCCAATAACCCTGGGCCCGGTGTCTTGTTACTTAAGGGTCTTATATACGATGCGTATATAGTGACAACACAACTATACAGGATAAGACTTCTTGCCAGTCCTTAAGTACACGGTCTACAACTTTTCTAGTTTTCGTGGTAGATAATGTGCTGAGTTCTTGGGAGGAATGTCTTTCAATATTCTCCTTCTTGTTCCTTGGTTAGTTTAAACCTCGTGGTCTCGAAATACTGAGTGTGAAGTTTGTATGTGTTTTGGCAACTGTGTGCCTGTGGATTTGTGAAGTGTGTCTTGTGATTTGTGTCTCCCTTCCTGAAAAAGAGAGAGGAAAATAGTGCTGATAAACTTTAGCAAGGTAGCTGTACTTTGTTATATAGTCAACCCCTGTAAGGTAGTATATAACTTGAATATATGTTTCTTATTCTGGACTTCAAGGCTGCTCAATGGCCTGCACTTAGATCTTACTGGTTCTCACACGGTTTGAGAAAAGAGTTAAAGTGGGAAGCTTAAATTGCATGGGTGAAAATGGGCTCCTTATATACCTTTTGGGAGGCCATCTTACTAAGCATGATTCATCACATAGATTGGTAAGAATGTGCTTACAAACTTGTGTTGAGTCAGCTTGTTTACTAATGTACATACAAAATGAAGTGTAGTATTACAAAGAATGAAAATGAAAAGCATGAGTCATCACATGGATTGGTAAGAATGTGCTTACACCAAGTCCTTAGGTGTGCTGAATCAGCCTTATGACAAAGCGGATTACAAATGCAGTTGCAAGTTTTACAAAGCATGATGAATCATGACCAAACATGATGAGTCAAGTTGAATCCTTACAAATCAGAGTATTTCCCAGTCACATGACATGATTACTAACATGTTTGGTGGCTTGAGGAAAAGTCTGGTGGCTAAATTGCCTAGAAAAATAGAAAGAGATAGAATCTCATGGAACAAAATAGAAATACATAGAAAAAATAAGAGTGAAGTTTGAAAGTGAAATACTAGCTAAGAAATGAATGAAAAATGATAAGGTAACTTGGTGATAGGAATCAGTCAGGTGTCTTCTACCTTCCCTGTCACTGCTGTTGTGTATATGTCATGGTATGGATCACATACCATGCATGACATCGGACATCCTATTTATAACATACATATGGGCCCAACCATGCAATCATTCCATTGTCAGTTGGCACCTATGGGCCCAGCCATTAATATACGGACATCACAACCATCATGGACTCACCCATCCCTATCAGCCTACATGTACACCTGGGCCCATCTCCCATGGAAGAATCTCAACCTTGGGTGTCCGTTCAACACGAGGAAAAGTTACTGAATGGGCTCTCCATGCTGGCATTAATGCTGAGAAAATCATGATGACAGACTTACAGGGAAATAAGTGCAAGCTTTCAGACCGTCCTGCAATCTATAAAGGAGACTTGTGGACCACTCAGTGGCGACAAAAACAGCAATGGGTTGAGGCTGCATGAGGTTGCCAGACTCTTCATTCCTTCTTAAGTCGACAGCCAAAAACTCCAAATAATGGACCATTACTGGTCGAGTCTGAGCAGGAGCCACTGTCCAACTTGGAACAAGACCCTGCACTGGAGTTCACACTTAGTACTGGATTTGATATGGCTGATTTATGTGCAACGTACCTCAAAACATGGCTGGATGAGCAGTGAGACAATACAGCACTTGAAAAGGAGGATGAACTGGAGGTGCATAAATTTTTATGAAACTGGTTTAATTAATTAATGAATGACACACATACCTCTCCCACAGCTTGCCACTAGTGAGGCCATGATGTGGTGTGACCCTGAGCTGCACTTCTGTTCAGAAGACTCAGAATACCTGCCTGAGTCAGCTGAAATTGAGTTAGCTCGTGAATGGCTTGATGTCAATGATGAAGACAATGTTGAACCTCACAATACTCTCTTGCTGGTGGATGTATGTTTAAAAGAGGCCAAGAAGTTATGAACCTTGTGATTGATCAAAGTTATCACTCAGCTTAGTGTCATTGCGCAGTACATGAAGCTGCAGGATAGATATCTTCAGCATGCTTGGACAAAGTGTCCCTGTCTCAGTGCCAGTCTTGCAATCGCAAGGAGAATGGGCAAGGGACCATACTTCACTCAACAAATCTGTAACAATGAAAGATACCTTTCTTGTTATCACTGCCTTCCACCATAAAAAGATGGTGCCTATTGAGGACATACAACCCTGTTGGATAATGAAACTGTTGTTCATTCTGTTTGTCAATATCTCGCTAGCCAGAATCTTAGAACCATCACTCCCCACAATCTCTGCAATCACATCAACAAAGTTGTCATCCCTGCATTGGGTTTGACAGGAGACAAGTCAAGTATCAGTGAGCACACATCACTCAACTGGTTGAAGAAGCTTGGGTACCTTTGTAAAAATGTTCAGAAGGGAATGTACATTGACAGACATGAACAACCTGATGTAATAAAGGCATGCAAAGAATTCTTGTGAAAAATGGAACATTACGAATGGTGAGATCATCCATTGTCTCAATGTGTGGTTGATTATTCTGCCACTGCAGCTTTATGTCCACATATGATGACAAAACTCTCACTTGCATACCTCCTATATTACACCCAGGCGAGAAGGAGCATGTGCTCATCATGCAGGATGAGTGCATCTTCCATGTCAATGAGTCTTGAAGACAAGCATGGCTATTGGAACCTGAACAGCCCATCAAGAAGAAGGGTAACAGTTGTTCAATACATGTCTCAGATTTCATCTGTGAGACAATTGGGTTTCTTACACTCTTGATGGCTCAGATAGAAGAGCAGATGAAATTACCTCCAGAATCTCGCCTCCACTCATTCACCACATGTCGCATAATTTATCCAGGGAAAAACCACAATGCTTGGTGAAATTTCAAGCAACTGGTAGAAAATATCAAAGACGCCATTGATGTTTTTGAACATACCAATCCTGGAATGGTTGCTGTCTTCCTTTTTGACTGTTCATCAGCTCATGTAGGCCCTTGCTCCTGATGCTCTCAATATAAACAATATGAACATTGGTCCTGGAGGCAAGCAGAAACCTCTTAGCGACACCATCATTCCATTATCAAACCCACCACCAAAGCCTGGCTGTCTTGATACACACAGAGTGCCTCAGTCACTTGTTTACCCTTCATCACATCCTAACAAAACATTTGCTGGCAAACTGAAGGGTATGAGAGCAGTGTTGGAGGAGAGTGTGTCAGTCTGGGATGAGTATATTGAGAGGCTCCAGAGGCAAAGCGTTGTTGGCAAGTGTCAGTCATGCCAAAAGTCGGAGCTGAAGAAAGATGCAGAATGATGAATTGCAGCAGCAGAGGCTATGGGACAAGAAGACACTCTCATGAACCATGACTTGGCTGAGGCCAAAGGTGAACCAGATGAGGTTGAATCTGAGGCTGACAATTGGTGTTGTATTTTCAAGGTGCTCTCTCTACAAGAAGACTTTGCAACTGAAAAACTGATGCTTCAACACCACATCGAGAGTCGGGGGCATGTTTGCCTTTTCTGTTATAGTTGTTTGTACGCCCCTATCTTTTCTCTATCCTTTACTTGTATTATGTCACGTGCCGCTGACAGCTGCCGCTAGATTCATCCATTGTACTTATATCTATATCAATTATGCGTCCTTTTGTCTTTCCTTTCTTGATGACTCGAAACCCGTTGTACTTATATCGCTTACACGTCCATTCTGGTCTGTGCGCTCCATATGGTCTATTTAAGCACATAGTTAACATTGTGATTCCTTACTTTAATCTTACTGGGTTTTACCTGGAACTTCCTTTGCTTAAGACCTCCAATCTTAAGTCGTCTGAACTAGATTCAAGTAGAGGACACTCTCCTTTGCTTGTCTTACTTTGAACCAACCTTTCACATACGCGAGAGTTCTGAACCAACCTTAGCCAATAACTCTTATTGAGTTGCTATATGTCAGAACTATTCCAGTTCATAACATTTTCTTACCAAAGTTTCACTGTGAACTCAATCCTTCAGAGATGGTATGGGGGTATGGAAAGTATCGTAAGTCAGCCATCAATATTATTGATACAGCGATTGATGAAAGCAGCTTAGGTTTTCACAATGCATCAGATGGTAAATTCCCAACTGCAAAAATTCCCGTTCCTCAATGTCTCGATCTTTGTGATACCTTGACTATCCAGCAATTTTTCCACAAATCTTGGCGCTATATGAACACTTACAGGTACACTACTGCTTTCTCGTCAAATAACACATTTGTTGAACTCTTACATTAGAAAAGGACTCAATGCTTGACAAGCTGGATTTGCTGTGAGGAAGTACAAGTCCCATTGACACATTGGTATGATGGCTGAAGTCCTCACATGTGTTAGCAATGCTGCAGGGGCACAGAAGTAGTGATGCATTGGGCCCGGCCTGAGGCCCTCAGGCCCTTTAGGCCAAGGCCTCGTAGGCCAAGGCCTCGTAGGCCAGGCCAAAGCCAGGCCAAAGGTGAGGGCCTTATAGGGCTTTGGGCCTAGCCTGTGAGTTGGACAGGCCTGAGCCTGGGGCTCAGGCCCAGGCTTCCCAGTTTGGAAATACCAGCGGCATATTCCATACAGTTTATGCACCACTGGTGAGTGATTCTTTGTGTGACTGATCTACCAGCAGAATGCAATGGTACTGATGCCTCCCACAGTGATCTCTGATGATGATGCACCTGTCACTGTCACTGTGCAAGCAAAGTGCACTATCATTCCATCATCTCACCTTACTGCCTCTAACAACAGCGCAACACCAGAACTTAGCAGCCATAAAAATATGCAACAGACTCTCCAGCCTAGTATGGCTTATCAGCAACTCACTCGGCACCAACTTGAGAAATGCTGGCAAGTGCAATTTGGTGGATGCAGACTGGACTCCTTCGTTGACGGAAGACTTAGTGGAGTTGTCCAGTGAAGGAGACGAAGCCATGGGCCACAAAGGTATGTTGCAGCCTTTGCGTTTGTATATTTACTCTTTCAATTCTATAGGAAAACACCTTCATTGGGCTCACGATCCGTCATTTTTTACGGCTGATGCCCATTCTTCTGCATGTCTCATTGATGACACAGGTATGTATTTTTATTTACTGGTGCTATAACTTAACCTCCCCACCAACCAACAGAAGAGACTTCAAGTACTCGCAATGCGACACCTGCAGCCATGGACAATTTTTTGTCCAACATCGACGTACAGGACACATTGATGACACCTGTACTTCGATGTGAGGAGAGGAGCTGTGATGTCAGTGCGTTTTTTGGCAAACCCTATGTGCACAAGGCCAAGGATGGGAAAACTCGTTCAGTCCAAGACTGTGAGTCATGCAAGTAAGTACATACTCTTTCTTCACTATCTCCACTGACAGAGTCACAGAAAGAAAGGGTACCCATGTCAGATTGTTAGTGACACACCAACATGTCAATGCCATATTGCCTTTCAGCATTCAGTAAGTTAGTTTTTCATTTTGATACTTGACACTAACATTTACTACAGAATAATTACCATCAATGGTGCAAGACTAATAATTTCGAGTCAATGTTGCCTCAAGATATCAAGGAATGCAAAACAGCAGTAGCTATTGTGAGTGTGCAGCAAATGAGTCTCGATGGTCATTTGCAAGAAAATCCTTCCAGTAAGGTCATTGTCCTGTACACGGACAGTCTTTCATGAAGCTGCTATTGAGTGGCTAATTTCCACTAGCCAGGTAGGTGTTGATTTATTGTATTCACGGTGATTTTTGATTGTTTTGAAGCCTATTCAAGCAATTGATCACCTGAGCTTCCAGAAGATGATAGCTGTAGCAGCTCGTACTACAAGTGGTATTATTCTGCTGAATTGTAATGCTACATGCTGCAAAATTATGAATTCATTCAAGAAGCAGATAACGAAGTCAAAAGAACGTCTCAATGCAAGTATTCCCTTGTATTATCTTAAACTAATGTTTTATATTGATGTTGCAAACAGAGCCAGGTTGTGTCTGGCACTGTCAACCTGATGTGTGATGCATGGCAGGCCAGTAATGCCAATGGCTATTTTGCCACTACTGACCACTGGATCGAGGAAACATCACCTGGTGTCTGGCAGCTCGAATGTGCTGTCCTTGGATTCACGCAACTGAATAACTCCCACAATGGACAATGTCTTGGGCAGGCTTTGTTCAAGATTGTGGATTGAGTGGGCATTGCACATAAGGTAAGGTGTTAAGGTGTTAAAATTTGGATGCACTGTGCTCACGGGGTATTAGATCAGCCACATTACATGTGACAATGCCTCAAATAATGACACAATGCTTGATGAATTGGCGCGTTGGATAAAGCAAGGGACCGGGACAATATGGATCCCAAAAAAGCGGCACATCAGGTATACTAGTAGTTATGTGTTGTATGTTTACTAACATGGAACTCAAAGGTGCTTGGCTCATGTTATTCACCTTGCGACATGAGCTGTCATCTCTTCATATAGCAGTGCCCCATACTATAATTCTGAGCATCCTGATTTTTTAATCCCTCAAGCCCATGGCCGTTGAGATGAAATCGGTCTTGTGCGAGCCATTGCAGTCAAGGTTCGTCATTTTCTTGAATTATTTGACTATCATTTGAGGAACTATATATCAGGCACGATCCTTGGCTCAATGAAAGCAACTCTGGAAGGATATCCGGACCCGTGCACCTAACCCAAGCCCTGTTGTCTCACAACTGTTACTCAATATGCCCATCTAATGGTCCTCGACTTATGTCATGCTCGAATGTGCTGAGAAGAAGAGACCTGTATGTATGATAATATAAATGACGAGTTGAAACTAACTACTGTTTTTGAGTATGTTGATACTTTTGTCTATGAGCTTGGCCTTCATGAGGCAAACCTTACAAAACGAGCCAAAATTGATCAATTGAAGCTCCATGAGGATGAGTGGGCTCGTATTGCTTTATTTACATCTCTCCTAGCTGTGAGTATGAAGTTCCTGTTGTAACTTAAGCTGATTATTGTTTTAGCATGCCAACAAAGCTCAGCAAAGTTTCTCGTCTGATAGGGGAGCATCCCTTCATCTTGCTTTGCCAGCTCTCGAAGCCTTACACAAGGCCTGGTTGACACATTCCAAGCATCCCAAGTATGAGTCATTTTGTCAAGCCTTATAAGAGGGTATTGCAAAGATCCATGAGTATTACAACCAAAGTTCGGAGTGAGGCATACATTATTTTAATGTGTAGGTGATCTGTTGCTTGTAGTAGCAATTGTAGCCTTGATAATGTGGGAAAGAGTGCGGCAGCAGCAAGGGCAGTGAAGGAGGTGAAGGAGTCGCAGCATACCCCATAGACACAGATGCAGGCTCAGAGGGGAGTGGAAACAATTTACGTCTTGGATCAGCCATTGGTGGCGAAGCAGATTGGTGAGGATTGTGGGATTTAAACCTGAGGTGAGAAGGTGAAGTCAATGGGAATAGGGAACATGATAGCACATACAATGACTCTGGAGTAATAATACCACCCAGGGTTCAATATACCCTGCATCTGGACAATACCAAGTCCCACTCCTTTGCCTTCGCATTCCTCCTTGCCTTCTGCACAATGAGCACGCAGGATATGAACACCCTTTTGCATATGAGATCAGCTTCAGGTTGTAAGTTCAAACTCCTCCGGGAAGGTGCTGGATGTTGACTGCCCAGTCAGAAAGATGCATTCGAGAATTGAGAGCAGAAATGAGTCAACAATTGGAGTTAGTCTAAAAAAACAATGCCACAAGGAGCAAGACACTAGGATACATATAGGTAGTAGTAGACAAGAAGCAAAAGTGAGTGAGAATCGAGTATGAAAAGTAAGTGTCAATGATCATACAACAGCAGCAACATCTGGAATGTCATTGCATTCTTGCTCTGCAATGATTCTGAGAAGTGCCTTGTATTCGGAAGTTTCAGGAGTGAATTCACTGATGGCAGAGTTCAAAAGATCACTGGAGCCAGACATCAAAAGATCACCAGAGTTCATGGCGCACATCAAGTTATACTCCATGTCTTTCTGCGAGGCTTGCCAACCTTCAGCAAAGTTAAGTCGCTCTTTCTTCAGTGCAAACTTGACCATCTGTAAGGCCTCCATCAGGGGTGGGCTAATGCGATTTTGTTTCTTTGTGTATGTCTCACTGCTGGATGAAAAGATGTGTTCGCAGGGAACAGCAGAGGCCTGTATGGGAAGACAGTTCATTGTGATTGAATAGATGGTCGGAAACATAGGTTGTGCAGTCTGATCGACACTTCGTGATCAGCCAAACTTAATGGAGACACAGGACTCTTACTGTCCAAAATGTGAGTAAATTCGTTCCCCATGGGCTGCAGACAGCTGTGCTGTAAGCACTAAATTCCTGTTCTACCATTTGGGTGCCACCCTCGTTATGCGGCAGTATATCTATGTCATGAAGTCCGTAGATCATTGAGCCTAGCGTTGCAGCAGCACATTGTGACAATCATATTGGTGCTAGGCATGTATACCTGTATAAGCCTTCAATAGGTGGACCAAAGTTATCCCTCATATTATTCACTACTCCTCTATCAGCAGTCTTCACTTGTCTCAGCCATAACCCTTGTCCGACGCTATTCTGCACTTTCCTGCACTATGCGTGCACATTCCCACAGTGCTATTCATGCTCCCACAACTTATCCAATGCTATTCCCACGCTTATAGCGCTATCAGAACTACCAGCAATGTGTCTATAGGAGCATTAGTGCATGTCCGCTCTATCTAGCACTTGTTCCTGCGCTTAGCACTTATCCAGCGTGCTGTTCTCGTGCTCTAGGATCCACCCGAAATATCAGAATCCATCCATTGTCCATCCTACCTCATTGTTATGTAAATTGCCTTGCCTCAAGTTTGTAAAAAGTGCTACAGTCTTATTACATGTATATCCTATCCCTTCCGAGTCTGAGATGGTATAGTTTACTAGTATAAGAAGCCTATAGTGACTACTTCGACATTACTTCCCTTCAACTGTATTTCCTTCCCCTTAAGTTTTACTTCGAAGTAGTCACCTTTAGCTGCGCTCTATAGCCCCTATTGGTTTCCCTATACCTGATCACTTTACCTTGACTTTCCCTTACCCTTGCAATCAATACCTTTGACCTCACTCGTTATCCACTACACTCCTTAGACTCCCTACCTGCATCTCTGCTATAGCGACGCATTTCTGCTCCACTACCAATGCATTCCCGCTCTGCTACTGATGCATTAGTGACCCGATAGCGACCATCTGCCGACCTGCACTTCCGCTTTTCTCACGCCATAGCGCTCTATACTTGCGACATACTTTCCCACACACTAGCGCAGTATCTTGCGACATGATTTCCCGCGCTCTAGCACACTTTCGGGTCTTTCTATCTTAAGTTGTCCTTAGTAGCTTTTCCCTCAGGTCAAACATTCTTGCTTTATTGTTTGCAAGTATAGCAGCATAGGCAGAGCTTAGACATATACTGGCTTAGTACCTTTACAAGTGCCCAGTCAGGTTGTGTTTTTCACAGCGTGACTGGTGTTCCATGGGTAGAGACTGTGCAGAGTTGGAGGTATCTGTCACTCTTTTCTTCTGCATCTACAGTGTATAAATTCAAACTTGCACTTTTATCGTTCAAATTTGTCAAATAGACATACCAGTTCAAGAATATAATCCCTGGTCTCCTTGACTCGAGCCATGTCCCAATTATCATTCATCCATGACATATGAATTGCGGGATCAATAACTGTACAAACACAGATGAGAATCAGTGTTGACTAAAAAAACACACGGGACTAACACATGGCGACTCCATATGCTCCCATGCGGCTCATCTGGTCATGGTATTTATCAGTCCAAGTTAAGCCAATGGCAACAAAAGGTGCCAAGCGCGCGAAGTGCTGTGCCAAGTCCTTCCACTTTTTGACTAACCTTTCGAAGGCTGGAATGGCACAACTCAGCACAGGAGTGCTCTTGCTGGACATGCTTTGCTGAACGGCATGTGGTGCCTAATATAGAATGGTAAATACATCTCAGTTTCGGACATATTAAGACTGACCTCTAGGACCACCTCAAGATCTTGCAAGATTTGCCATTCCACAGGCTCTAACTTTAGATGGGATATAGTCCTTTGATCGTCGTCATCAAGGAAGTTGTCAACAGCCTAGGCCACTGTTTAGTCTATGCCAAGGATTATGAAATGAGACCTTACCTGCTGAAGTGTTCTTAAGCAATTAAGCATGATGTAAGTTGAATCCCAGCATGTGGACTCGTCACACAGCAGTTCAACAACTGGGAGCACCATCTCCTCATCATTGTCATTTCAAAAAATCTTGGCATCATTGCCCAAGCGAATGCTGTCTCTGAAACTATTGTGTCATTTGTTTGACACATGGATTGCATGCACGACAGCCCTGGCCCGACAGATAACATCACCTCGCAGAGCCGTGAGATACACTACCTTGTTGAAAGAGGCATTGCCAACTATGAAAGGACCGGCCACATTTGAAAGGTCCATGGTAGAATGCTCGTCCATGACATGCTGGACACATACAGTGGCTCAAAAAACCGTCCGTATGTTTTGGCATTTTTCACTATCTATAATATTGTGTGAGAACAAACAAATGCCTCAAAAACATGCTTATACCACATTGTAGTATGGCTTCAGGGCTTTCATTTGAGCCCTACACCGTGGGAATCGGTGGAGATATGGTGGAGATACAAGGCTCACAAAATGGTGACTCATGCGGACAGTTTTTTGACTCAAGTATTTTACAGTAATAACCAGGTATTCTAGTATTTTGTATGACCTCCCTTGGCTTTAATTACTGCCTCTATCCTTCTAGGCATACTCTCAATTAATTTCTGGCAATCCTCAGCTGTGATCTTCCCCCATTCCACTGCTACTCTCTCCCAAAGCTCCCATACTCCTTTAGGGGGGTTTTCATAGGCTTGAAGCTTTTTCTTGAGTGTTCCCCAGAGATGTTCAATGACATTGACATCGTGAGACTGTGCTGGCCAGTCAAGAACATTGATGTTATGTTCTTCAAACCATTCCCTAGCTCTTCTGGATGTGTGCTTGGGATCATTATCCTGTTGGAAAATGATATCTTCTTCATCAATCCCTGATTCTGCCAAGCTAGGCAGCAAGTGGTCATTTAAAATGTCCACATACTGCTCAGCATTCATCTTCCCCTCAACCTCAGCAAGCATTCCCACACCATTCCATCCCATACAGCCCCATACCATTAAAGAACCTCCTCCAAACTTGACAGTCCCATTAACCTCTCTGTCTGTTAGGCCATCTCCCTTCTTTTTCCATACATACACCTTCCCATCTGACCCAATCCTATTGATTTTGGTCTCATCTGACCATATAACATGCTTCCAGTCCTCTACAGTCCAGTGTTGATGAGCTAAGGCAAAGGCTAGTCTTCTCTGCCTATGTTTGATGGAGAGAAGAGGCTTTTTCTTCTTTGTTACTGCCTTGAGATGAGCTGCCTTGAGAACATTCCTCACAGTTTGTGAAGAGACAGAGGTAGTGATGGTGGAATTGATATAATGGGTGGCTTGGACAGCATTATCAGCCTTTCCTGTAGTGATATGTTGGATAATAGCCCTTTTGTCAGTAGAGGTAAGCTTGGATGGACGTCCTCCACAAGAGTTTTCCTTGTCTGGGTGGCTTTCTTTGATGAACTTGGCCACAGTGGACTTGCATATTCCAGTTCTAGAGGAAATTTGGCGAGCAGAGAGGCCAGCATAAGACAGAGAGAGGATATTATCTCTTTGAGCAGAGGAGATGGCTTTCATGGTGATTATGACTATGATACATGAGATGTTCTGGTTTATATAGTTAGATATAGTCATAAAATAACATAATGACACCACTTTATAATTTATATAATAGTGGCATGATTTTTATGGTGTCATAAATAATGATTTATATAGTTTTAATATACACTCAAAAAACTGTCCACATGAGTCATCATTTTATAAGCCTTATATCTCCACCATATCTCCGCCGATTCCCACGGTGTAGGGCTCAAATAAAAGCCCTGAAGCCATACTACAATGTGGTATAAGTATGTCCTTGAGGAATTTGTTCATTCTCACACAATATCATAGATAGTGAAAAATGCGGACAGTTTTTTGAGCCACTGTATATTGATTATGTGCTGGAAGCATGGGATCCTGCAATCAATGGCATCGAATTTGATCCCTTGTCGCAGCAATTGGCGAGAGAGTTCTTCCATCACAGCCTGGTTATTGGAAGCATTGTCAAGTGTGAAGTGTCCCATCTAAACCAAGTCAGAGCATGTTACATAGCACAAATAAACACTGACATTATTTATCACACCGGCGCGCCTGACCAGATTGAATATTGTTGACCTGAGCACCTTCCCTGTATGACTACCCGGGGTGTAATGAAAAGCAATTAGAGGACCCTTCAAGACGAGTGGTGAATTGGTACTTTCCCTTGCAAGCCAATGGGCGGTAAGTGCCAGGAAGGGGCAGAACTTAGGATCTGACCAGAGGTCAGACGTGAACAAGATTTTTCCTTGGGCTTTCTACAGGACATAAGATACTATGTGATATTAGCAGCTAAACACTTACTGTAAGGTCATGTTTCATGACTGGGAAGTAGTCATGCCATGCATCTATGATCAATGAACGAAATTTTGTGCAGCGAGGAATATCCAACTCCTTTAGATCTTGACGCATGAGACAGAGCAGTCGGCGAAACTCCGGGCACTCGACAACATTAATTGGCTAGAGACAGCTGTTAATAATGTTGCATGAAAAATATATACTACTCACCTGGTCATCAGCGATGATGAACCTAACAATATGTCGGTGCATCTCATCAACGGAAAAGTCCAGCAAAACAGCTTCTGACTGCATGGGCAGTGAATCATTGTGTAAGGGATTGGGGGGAACACTGAGTGTTTCAATTGTACAGTCTGGGTCCTGGCTAAGCCTTTCGCATATCTGTGGGATGGTCCAACCCTCGTCGAGTCAGAATTGTACCTCATTGATCAAAATTGGCCAGGCCACTGGGCCCCGGCGCTCACATTCTGCTAGATAAAGGTCCATATGATGGACATGGACGTGGGTGCGAAGAGTGCCTATGGTTGAACTAGCAGCATATAGCTGGATTTTCCATAAAGAGTCTTGCTTATGTATATCCCTGTTGGAGGAGAGAGATTAAGAAAATACTCCCAGACGTGATACTTACTCGCAAGGGATACAGGTACATTTACGCGATGCCTCCATCCTATAGAAGTGGGGGGTGTCGACAACCCCCCCCCCTTTTGTTTTCTTTTTCCATCATGCATGGCCAAGGGATTGGTTGGGGTTGTGGCCAAGGGATCAGTTGGGGCAGAATTGAGGGCACCATTGCCGGTCTGAAGTGGGCTAGAGGCTGTATTGGGTGCGACTATTATAGGAGCACCATCCTCCTCATTGTCGCCACTGATTTCATTAATGTCGAAGAATCCAGTATCACCATCTTCATATCTTCTAGGACGCTGTCGTTCTCACCGAGGGCATTGGAGGGCCGTGGAAGTTGCTGCAGTGGTATTGATGGTTGCTGCAGCAGCGGGAGTAGGAGCAGGATTGAGAGTAGCAGTGGGGGGTGTCAATGTGGGTAGCATTGGTATTTTTTTGATGTCTGCTGCAATGGTTGTTCATATTAGTGATGGTAGCACTATAGATGCAACAAACAAATCACCTGGTTATATAGAAAACTTCGTCCTGGGGAGACCCTGTAAAATCCCAATGTGCATGGTGGGGAAACACCAGTTAGACCTAGACTTGAACTCGCTGGGATCATTAGGGTTGCAGTATCTGATCACAATAGCGTTAATGGCAATACACAAACAGGACAACGGAATGCACACCAGTACATACTATAAGACTTCGAAGTGATCCTGATTGTTCAAGGGAACTGTCCCTGCAAGAAGTGAAAAGGGTAGTGGGGATCAGTAATATTGCCTAGATTGCCAGTTGAATCGATCAAGTAAGGTGAATCTCAGTCCATACACTAATTACTTCACCCTCACTCATTCAAAATTTGAAACCTGCTTGTAAGGCAACAAAATCATCTGGTGCCGGGTGAAAGGGAGATCGCGTCACATTGGCGAGAGGTCCCTAGGCCACACTGCACGTCAGTCTCGAACCACATCATAGCCTCAAATGTAGGTGCATGGTAAGGGGAGACCTCCATGAGTAGAAACCAACTACCACCATTACAAGAATGGGGTGAATTCCTGCTGGGACTGTAAATAATGATCAAGATTCAAGACCAGGGGTGAGTGGAGATGGAGTATGACACGAGGCACTCACTTGTATGGCCGGCATCTGCAATCTTGTAAAAAGAATAGCAGCGACATGATGGCGGTACACAGCAAGGCTGTAGCAAGTTGGCAGCAAGTGTTGAAAGGAAGATACGAGATACATGGGAGCTGGTCGGAGTTGGGAGTCAGGACGTACATATCAGTATGTATACTGTTACATGATATGGTACAGTAATCCAACATAAGTATTGTAAGGACATTTGAAATGGTTGATCCCATGGAACCAATTTGTGTGATTCCCATGTGCACGCTCCACCTGAGCTCCACTGGAGCTCATCTACAAATAAGCTGGTAGTGCCAGCTAAAGTGGCAAAACCCGCTACCTACCTGCTTCATCAATTGCCATACCAACGTGGTCAGTCAAATCCAAAATGGGTTTCACGCTTGTCCTTGCCAGATGCATAACACCAGTCCTATAATTAAAATAATCATGTTGCTGTCCGTAGTCTGTATCTGATATCTTGCTCAGATGGAGTAGAGGAGGCAGGAGCATATTGGCTCAGCCTCATACCTTGGCAAGCCGACATGCTCCCCCTGCAGTTATTTGGACAGCCTGATCACTGTCAAGTCGACATCATCATGATACTTTACACATAGTGCGAGACAGGCATCTGATCTAGTTCATGCCAATAAAACACCATCATTGTACTCCTCCCTGAGCACAGTGACCTTCCTCCTCACAACCATGACTCGCCCACTTGCCTTGTCCAATGCACCTCTCAACAAGTCCCATTCAGATGCGCTCAGGCTCATCAGTTGCATCCCACTGAGATGCACATCAGCGAGCCCTCGGAGGAGTGGCAGGTAGTGCTCACTTGCATTGAGAAGATGTGAGAAGGACCGTGACCCAATAGAAACCAGGCAATGAATCGAGATCAATCGAATGGTGTTGTCTACGTGCATGTGAGTACCTGAGGACTTGAGAGTGGTCTTCAACAACTCAATGTGTGACAGCAGGTCATTGGCTTTAGAGTCTCCATGCAAAGAGATAGGATTGATTAGGCAGTATCATAGTGTGGATGGCTATAGACGAATGTTAATGACAAAGATGCAGGGAGAAAAGGAGCATACTTGGGTCTTCATATTCAAAGGCTGGTCCTGGAGTCTGATCAGAGAACGGTAGTATCATTTTGCAGAGGCTCCGGCAAAGTCTTCAATACCCGGTCACGGATAACAACTGTGTCTCAAACCCCAGTGCTTGCTGTATGAAGGTACATTTTGGGTCCTGCTCTGACAGCTCCAAGTCAGATAACCTGTGAAGACATTTCAGCATTTAGCTCATGCAAGAGCATTGACCATTCTTTCCAAACCCATTGGAAACTGAAATTGCTCATGTGTTCCCTGAACTACTCTGTGAAATGTCAAGTATTCTCCACATCTAACCCATCCCCAAGAGCAGTGTACAACCCGTGTATTGACTTTCCAACAGCGGAGCTGACAGTTGACGACAAGAGCTTGCACAGCTCGGTAATTAGGGCAATATGGTAGACTGTTGTATGTGTGGAATCTGGGACTGGGAGGAGGTAAAGAGAGCCTAAGACGGTCTAATGGAGTATGTCAGACAACATATATGGAAACAAGAGAGGTTTACCTCTAGAATGTACCAGGTACACACCATTTTGGATACTCGAGCAGGTTACTGCACTGCTCTGTGAAAAGAGTTACTGGAGTGCTTGACGCATTCCAAAGAAATGGGTGCACAATGATTAGACCCTCAATAGCACAGAGAGCTGCATTTCTGCCATGTCTGTGGGAAACACCAAGCATCACCCCATCATGATGCAAGCTTGTATGTAGTATATTTATATACATATGTACGTACAGATACCACAAGAGCGCTCAACAAATTGAAAACTATACATCTATTATACTATGCAGTTAGTTTCTTTTTCCGATGTGGGGCAGAAGTAGTTGAAGGTGGTAGGGGACCATTGCGCGGGCATAAACTTGTAATTAGTTCATGACTCATGAGTGTGTGAAGATTAAAAAAAACTATGTACTCACACACGAGTTGATTTGCAAACAGGTGTTGCTTTTGGCAGGCACAGTGACGCTGCCTCAGCCACCAAGTGAACGTTGGAGGTTGGAGAATGTAGAATGGGGTCATCAGGCTGGATGAAATCCAGAAAGCACGTTTCTGTGGTGCGAAGACCATGAAGCAATGAGTGGAGATAGTCATAGTCAGGGTCTTCTGAGAATGAAAGAGACCGTGAGTAGATGAGAAGGTTTGCGAATTCAGAAGGAACACCATCACATAAAACTGCAATGGTGGTGTCCACTTTACGCTCGAGCATGTCAGAGCTGGAGAGCTTCTCATGGCTGCTAGTTAGCCATGGAAGGGTGCCACACATGAAATAAATCAACATATATGATAGAGACTTGAGATCGTCATGATGACCCGGCTCCAAGCCCAAGTGGTTGTTGATTGAAGCAAATGCAGGTGTGCCTGTGAGACATTGACCCTGGTGAAATGGTATGTGTGTTTCGGTTGCAGCATTCCAGTACTTCTTTGTGATACCAAAATTGACGACAAAGAGAGTTTGGCTCAAATCGCCAAGGCCCAGCAAAACATTCTGCGGTTTGATATCGCCATGAATGTAGTTGTATGAGTGGATGTGTTCAAGGCATGAAAGCTGGAAATATATGTTAGCATCTGCAATGACCCACTCAAAGCAACATACCAGCTGTTCTCCAAGGTTAACAACAGTGTGAAGGCTGAATTTTCGATGATGTGCCTTGAAGAGATCGTGCAATGATGGTCCAAGGAGTTCAAGAGCCATAGTGTGATATGTTGACTCTCTACTGAACCAAATGGCACAGGGGATCCCAACTCCATCTTCGAGTCATTTCAGAATATGGTACTCACGCTCCACAGAAGACAGGTGAGAGGTGAGAGGTTCAAGTTTGATGGCAACTACATCATCATTAAGGAAGTTCTGTGCACAGTATACAACAGCTAGTAAGTGAGGCTTAGTGAGTTTATATGTTGAATCTCAACATCATGTAACGACATACCATATGACCCAGATCCCAGAATGTCTTCCAGCCTAAATCTACCGTCAACCTGAGTTGGGACTTTATTCATGCTGTGATAGGTAAGGACAATTACAATATATTTAACAACAGATGGTTGAAGGATAGTTTAGGGTACACACGTGCACTGTGTAGGCTGTAGTGAATGGCTCCTTCAATCCCTGAGAAATAAGGTACATATGAACACTGGTCAGCAACAACATCATCGGTAATGAAAACACCCCAAGTTGGCTTGAGCCAGCTCGTGCAGTTAGTCAGCTGGACCGAGCTGGACATAGGTAGCTTAGCTCACCCCAGGAGAGCTGAGTTACAGGCAAACCGGCAAAAGCCGAGCCTGAGCCAAGCCAAGCCAAGCTGCGGCATCACTAGCCCCCCACCACAGTGACACTGTGGTGGGGGGTAAGGTATCGTTTCATGTCAACTGAATTGTTATTGATCTAGCTTAATGTTATAGGTCAATGCTCATCAGTACCCTGTTTGGGCATCCCTTGCCTGTGATCATTTGTCTATCATGGCTACTTCAGTTTTAAGTGAGCAAGCTTTTTCTGCTGAAGCTCTAACTGTCACTAGGCAACTGCACGGGTTGGGGTAACCCGTGCATGTTCGGGGTACAGGTACTACTGGGGTATGGGTACAGGTTGGAATTCTGTGACCCACGCACTAACCCATACCCCTGGCATACCTGTGCCTTCCAAAAATGGTAATTATTTTGTAATCAATGTTTCTAACTTATCCACTGCACCGTCCTGGCCCTCCCACATCACACCATTGTCAAATGAGCCAGTACTAGGTATGCCTTGGTTTCTTTATTTTATTTTAAATAATCTATTTGACATTTATAACTACAACTAGGTATTTTCAAGCCTGTAACCATCTGTTGTTTTGTGATGAAGGTCGATAGCATTGGGCACAGTCGAGGTGGAGGGATTCTGGGTGTCTTTGGCTAAGCTGCAGAGGTGCGTGTATTCACACCTCATATGTATCTACACAACTTACGAACATTTCCGTTTGGTTCATAGTCCTCCTTTCATGCTCGACGCTGATGTTGATGCTGATGTTTCTGTGCCTGGGTCCCGCTCTCAGGCTGTGCGTGACCTTGTCTTTTGATCATTTTCACTTGTTCTTGCTCGCTCCAGCTCTTTCTGACTCATTCTTGCTTGCTCTGACTCATTCCAACTCGTTCTGGCTCATTTTGACTTGTTCTTGTTTGTTCTCGCTCATTCTGACTTGCTCCTACTCATTTTCGCTCATTCCGACTTGTTCTGAGTCGTTCTTGTTCATTCTCGCTCACTGTGACTCACTATGACTCGTTCTGACTCATTCTCACTGTGCAAGGCATGTTAAATACAGTGGCTCAAAAAAGTGTCTCAATGTTTGTGGCTTTTCATGTAATTGCTTTCTTGTGAGTCAGGACGTGAAAATATGACTAAGCCATAGGGAGGGGTGGAAAATCTCTGCTTCTTCGCTTTAATTCCGTCCCCTACAGCGTGGGAAGCTGATGTTATCAAGTGAAGATATGGTCATTTTAATTTGGTGACTTATTGAGACACTTTTTTGACTTTATAAAAATTTAGCAAAATCAGGTCACCTAGACAAAATGTTATGACTAAATATCTAAAAGAAATGGTGTCATGTCAATAATATGGTCTGACTTTAATATCTGACATCTATATAAGTGCAAGCTAGAGCATGAAATTCTCCATAATCCTCATGAAGTCTATCTCCTCTACTCAACAGGATAATATCCTTGTTCTCAGCTTCTCTGGTCTATCTACTAGACAGATTGCTTCCAAAACTGGTTTAAGCAGGGCTACTATTGCCAGGGTCATCAAGAAATCTAATCCAAATAAAGAAAATATCAATATGGGCCATCCTTCCAAGTTCACCCCCCATGATAAGAGGGCTATTGTTCACTGTATTCTATCTGGAGAAGCTTCAAATGCTGTTCAAGCCACCAAATTCATTAATTCCATCATCCCATCCACTGTCTCCACCCAACAGTCAGAAACACTCTCAAGGCAGCTAACCTGAAAGCTGTAACCAAGAAGAAGAAACCTCTTCTTTCACCAACTCATAGGAAGAAGAGACTAGCCTTTGCTCTGAAGCACCAACATTGGACTGTTGAGGACTGGAAAAGAGTTATTTGGTCAGATGAGACCAAAATCAATAGACTGGGGTCAGATGGTCAGGAATATGTGTGGAAAAAGGCAGGTGATCCACTAAGAGACAGAAGTGAAAGGCACACTCAAGTTTGGAGGAGGAAACTTGATGGTGTAGGGCTGCATGGGATGGAATGGAGTGGGGATTCTGTGTGAGGTGGAGGGGAGGATGAATGCAGAGCAGTATGTCTCCATTCTAGAGGAGTGTCTGCTTAGAAGCATGAAGGAGTCAGGTATTGATGAAGAGGACATCATCTTCCAGCAGGACAATGATCCAAAGCATACCTCAAGACTGGCTACAAAATGGTTTGAAGACCATAATATCAATGTTCTATCATGGCCAGCACAGTCTCCAGACCTCAATCCCACTGAACATCTTTGGGAATTACTCAAAAGACTACTTGCTGCCTATCAAGATCCTCCAAAGGGGTTATTTGAACTATGGGAGAGAGTTGTAGTAGAGTGGAGAAAGATTACTAAGGAGGAGTGTCAGAAATTGATAGAAAGTATGCCTAGGAGGGTAGCAGCAGTTATTAAAGCCAAGGGGGGTAACACAAAGTACTAGAATCATACAATAGCATTGGTAAAATACAAAGTCAAAAAAGTGTCTCAATGAGTCACCAAATTAAAATGACCATATCTTCACTTGATAACATCAGCTTCCCACGCTGTAGGCAACGGAATTAAAGCGAAGGAGCAGAGCTTTTCCACCCCTCCCTATGGCTTAGTCATATTCCCACATCCTGACTCACAAGAAAGCAATTACATGAAAAGCCACAAACATTGAGACACTTTTTTGAGCCACTGTATATTATCTCACTGCAAAATTTTAGGTAGTACCCGTGGGTAAACTCCCCACAGGTGCGGGTATGGGTCTAATATCCACATACCTACCAAAAAACCCGTACCCCTCGAGCAGGTACGGGTTTTTGCCAGGTATGGGTGCGGGTATGACCTCTGCTACCCAGGGGTTAACCCATGCAGTTGCCCAACTGTCACAAAGTGTCATGACCGCTTGAAGGGTGATGTTGTGGAAGCAATTCAGGTGCTTTGCATGATGTATCCATGTGATTTGATCTTCCGAGAGGCTCCTACTTCGACTTTAGAATTAGCATCAGAGGGACTGGATGATGGCGAGGAGGAGGATATTTCAGATGTATCTGATGTTGAGTATTGAGTCTAATTGTATCTGGTAGTGAAATAGATGTTTTGACACATTTTTAACTTGTAAGCCCTGGCCCAGGCCCAAGCCAAGCCTGAGCCAGGCCCAAGCCCTCCTAAAGGGCCTGGCCTGAGTTTTTTTCAGGCCCAAGCCCTCTAAAGCCAGGCCCGATGTGTCACTACACAGAACAACCTCCTGTAGCTCCATAGTATCATTTCCAGTCACCAGGTATGCCTCCTAGGCCTCCACACACTGTTTTTCTTATGATGTTTCAAATTCCTGTGACGAAAATTTTACATTCCAGTTTTTCAAAATTCTGGCCAGCAAAGATTAAACTACACATATAAATACATAGATCTACACTACTTTCACTTGAATTGCGTTAGTTTTCGTCTCGTAGTAGTTGTCATACATCGGGGTTACCCGAGGCGTCGAAAACCTTCTTTGCACACTGTAGGGTGCATGTATGGTGAATCTGGTGATATATCACCTCTGTTATGGACCATGGTGTTGTGAGTCAAAGGCAGGGATATACATAACATGGTTGGGTGCTAATTGAAACAACTGACATACCATACCCACAGGATATTGTGGATATCCCTATGTGGCCTGGTGCCCAGCACACTACCAGCTTTTTTCTGTCGTCATCTGGGATAAGCAATCTGAGGTCGTCATGGAATATGTCCATTAGGTAGTGTCCCAGTTCAAGTGAGTTGAACGCTTTTGTTGCACGTATCACTGCTTGGTTGTCCACTCCTAAATAGTTAAACTTAAAACATAGGTGCTCCACATATTACAACAGTTCCTATCACACATAGAACTGTGCACTCTGCCTCAAATGCTCCATCCCTCCCTCGACTCATGGGATGCCACTCTCAGGAGCTCTTTGATCTTCGCACAGACACAAAATATATGCCACGCCGGCATACTCGAAGTGCTAGTCCTTCTACAGCCCGAGCAAATCAATGCCGCGGTCCAGATCAACCATCCAACTCCCTACGTCCCAAATCTGCTGCTGGTGACCAGATGCTGACAGATGACCTGTGGGACCCATGGCCTGACGGAGATTTTGAAAGGTTATTCACCTGGGAGGACCCGGAGGAGGTAACAAAAACTGATAATCTCGGGGAACATTGGGCTTGCCAGCCGGGAGGAGACAAGAGGGGATCAGAGTTGGCACTGACGTGGTCACAAGGCAAAAAGACGAGACGTATTTACCTGGGTGTCATTACTTGTGCTGAATATGGCTAACTACTCACTTGTGGTGCAAGCAAAGGGGCTCTTGCTCGTCTTGGCAAGTATTGGTATCCTGTGCAACTGATTCAGTCCTATGAGACTGCTAGTCTCCCTGCTACTGCACGCAACCGAGTGCGCTGGCAGGTGGTTTGGTGGCGTGGTTGCAAATTCCCATCCAGTCTCGGATCACCTCCTAGTGATGTCGAGCAAGGAGATCTCATGGACGAACTCTGGCAGGACCAATCTAAGAGGCGTGAGATTCACGTGAGTGACATTGACTGGTTATGTACTCAGTCCTCTTAACATGAAGTGTTGTGTAGCTCGGAGAATGGGTCCACACTTGGGATACCCCTCGCGAAGAAGACTTGATTCAAAACTTTATGTCAGCACAACCATCAAAAGAATTTGATGACATTCTATGACTTCATATTGCTTCGCTTCAGAGGCTCCTTGATAGTCCTGACTTGAGCCAGTGTAATGCGGAGGCATACCCTG